TTACTTTATGAATCTGTTTCCTAGTCATAGTTGAAGTGTACCATGTAGCGTAGATTTTCCATAGGGTTATTTTTCATTTGATGTATGCTCGTTTCCATTTCATTAGGAGATAGTGTCTTCATTTTCATTTCTTCACAAATTGACTCTAAAGTTCTAAGTGGATGATTAAACAGGGGATGATGGTTGAATTTGCAAAGAATGTGGCTGATTTTGCCGCTGCTAGTGGAAAAAAGCACATTGTTGTGCTTTCTAGCTTAGATTTTGGACGGTGGCAAACAATTGATATGTCAAGGTACTAAGGACTGCAATGTTTACTTTGATTATTTTAGTTGCTTGACTACTCTCTCTCTCTCTCTCTCCCTCACAGTTTCTTTTTTCTTTTTTCTGCAGTAACTACTCCCTTTCATTTACATTTTTTTCTTTTGAGAAATTTGCTGTTAGTATTTTAATTTTCATATTTGAAAATCCTGCAAACCACCCCAATTCATTTTTAATTGGTTATTGACACCATAGAAACATGGAAATTTGTATATAAAAGTCACTCGATAAAATACATGATTCTGCAGATATCAAATATTGTGAGATTAAAAAATAACTGGAACTCGTAAAAAGTAAAGATATTCCTTATTCTAACAATCATTCATGTAAAAACTGATTCAATGATCATCTTTTTGAACTCTTTTACCTGTGCAAAAGTGAATAAACCAGCTAGGTCCATTGTTTAGAGTTGCCTGGGCCATTGACAACATTGCTTTGATTATTTGGTGATTTGTTTCGAATCGGGTTCCCGGTTTGGAAGTTAGAGTCGGATTTCACTTTAGGCAAACTAGTTTTTCAAGAAATTTAGCATTTGAGGTGTTCACGCCCCAAAATCACCAAACGGCGTCGGATTAGTACAAAACTTGGCACACATGACCGCCTAAGTACGAGAGACTTGTGAGAGAAGACGGGACTCGAATCGGGTTCCCGGTTTAGGAGTTAGAGCCGGATTTCATTCTAGGCAAACTAGTTCCTTAAGAAACTTGAATTCGAGGTGTTGACGTCCCAAAATCACCAAACAACGTCAGATTAGCATGAAACTTGGCACACACGACCGCCTAGGCACGAGAGACTTGTGGAAGAAGACGGGACTCGAATGTGGGAGAAGACGGGACTCGAATCAGGTTTAGGAGTTAGAGCCGGATTTCAGTCTAGCCAAAATTATTTACTTAATTATCTTTGTAATTGTATAGTAGTTAATTTTTTTTTTTTTTTTTTGTAATTAACATATTAATACATAATTATACTGTCATTAATTATTTTTATTTTTTGTTTTCAGATATTTCCCGAGTAGGTTTGCTTCTTATGGAATGCATGCCTGTGAAGAATGCGACTAACTTTTGTTTTTTATTTATGTTATTTTGAATTGTGAACAACATTATGTATTTAAATATTATATATGTATTATGCAACATTATGTAGTGGGGTAATTTTGCTAATGTATAGTTATGAATGCAAGAATATTTTTATTATGGAGAAATTGTTATTTTTATACAGGAATTTTTATATTATTATGCAATTATTAGTTTCTTTTTCAATTGTTTTTCATTTAATACAGGTAATTTTAATATATTTAATAATTTTATTGCATTTTTTTTTTTCGACGGCACCGCACCGTCTCAAAAAACATTAGAACCAAAATGTATTTTTTTTGCGACATAGGCATTGCCGTCGCAAAAGAAATTGGCGACAGCACGCATTTCGTTGCAATAAAAAAACTTTTCGTGATGGTATTTTTTGTTGTCTCAAATAATACTTTTAGCGACCGCACGTATACCGTCGCAATAAAAAACTTTCGCGACAGCATATTTGCCATCTCAAATAACACTTTTAACAACGGTAAAGCAATGCCATCGCAAAATGTCTCAATTTTTTACATATTATAGGCAATAGTAAAATGTTGTCGCAAAAGGCCACATTTGCCGTCACAAAAAAAGGTGACGGCATGATGTCGTTGCTAAAACGTTTTAGCAACGCTCTCTGTTGTAATCCCTTGTTTGCCGTTGCTAAAAGTTATTTACCGTCGCTAAAATTTTTTTGAGACAGCATTATGAGTACTTGTGACGGCAAAATGCCGTTGTAAAAAACTGAAATTTTTGTAGTGATATCAGAAGAAGAATGATATTGCTAATTCATTATCACAAGCTATTCTTGTAGCTTTGTGCTTTTATTATGCAAATATTAAAACATTTGGCAGGGCTTTGTAAAATACAACCATTCATTTTTTTTAAACATTTTGATCTCAAAGTATATCTTCATTCTTTTGACAATTGTTCAAGTCTCTACAAGATACACTGATTGATTTTCAATAGAACAAGTATGCAAATTAAGTTTTGATTTTTGGATGTTGTGCAGAGTTGAAATTTGATTTTAGTTCAAGGGTAAATTAGACTTTTCACCTTACACTAGCTAAATCTTACTTTAGTCATTCAACTTTCAATTGTGATAATTTTTTTATATTTTTGGTCAAGTTGTAATGTGAACTTTCTGTAGATTGACGTTGAAATATCAATATAGAACTTGAAAACCAAGAGAATTGTAACTTATGTTAATTGTTTATGACAAGTTCTTAGGTCAGCCTAGTTTATCCTGATTTTCCACTAACATCTCTTTTGGGAATTGGCTCTTCCTTTTTTTTTTTTCTTTTTTTTTTTTGTGATTTATTTGACTTTTTGGTGATAGTGCCTCTTACTGCTCCTATCTCTAAAGGGGCTTATGTGTTTCTTTTGAGGTGGAGACAAATTAATGGGTTTGACAATGATTTTTTCAAAAATATCTTAGACCACTAATTAGTGGTGATTTTAATGATGTGGCAGTGAGTCTCACCTATTGTCACAATGTATGTTATGTTTTAGTTTTTTTTTTTTTTACTTTTCCACCTCATTAGTGGTGGTGTTAGTAATAGCAAATTAGTGATCTATAGCATTGTTGTGATTTTTTTTAATTGTGTCGAAAATTTGTGAATTATTGAGATGTTTGACTTTTTTTAATGGTTTTCTAATTTTTTTAAATTTTTTTTTGATTTTTTTTTTCAATTTTTATTATTATTATTATTTGTGTGTAGCTATTTTAGTTAAAAAAATCAAGTTGCGGGGCTAAGTTTCAAAATGTAACCACTGAGGAAGAAAATTACTAAGGGCAGTTGAAAGGAAGCAAAACTTAATGGAAAATGTACATCATGCTAGACGTATTTTAGGTAATAAATTGAAATCAATGACTGAAATTTATTTTTCTAAAGGTTTTGTTTGTTTGAGTTTTAAAAATTTTGTTTTTAAATTTATTTTTTTTTGTAAAACTAAAGATTAATTTGACAAAAGTAGACATCAAAAAATATATTTTTAAATTTTTTAAAAATTACTTTCGTCTCAAAAAAGAAAAAAATTATATGAAAATAATTGATGTTTTTCAAAAAAAATTTCTACCAAACTAATTTTGAAATTCTTTTAGAAAATAGATTTGAAAACTCAACCAAAGAGAAGTCCAACAAAATTGAGTTTGAAAAGTTTAAGGCTATTATTAATCATACCCGACACTTTTTCCCTTCAGTAGGGGATAACTAATAAAAGGGTCATTTAATTAGAGTAAAAAATATTATAGAAAGTAAACGAAACAAAAATGAAATTTATTCATTTATTTATTTTTGACAAAGGGAAATTTATTTTCTTTGTATACATTTACTTGGGATGAATTTTTTTTAAAACGTATTTTTCTAAGAAAAAATGAAGTTAAGTTACCATTGTTTGGGATGTTTTAAATAAGTATATTTTTTGACTTTTTATAAAAAGATGTGTAGAAAAGTAGAGAGGAGATGTTGATTGATGTGATTCAAAAAAGATAAAAAGATAAAAAAGTGTGGACTTATTTAGTCTTCCCAAATAATGTGTAATCAACAATGATAGAGACCCCCCACAAAATACAACCCCCATAATTTCCAAAATGATCCGAACCATTTATGTCAGACACAACTTTCAAAAAAAATTCAAACACATTAATGATCAATATATCAATAGAGGTCATGGGGTCATCTTTTGTGAGGGTCTCAAACATTTTCCTTATGTGCAATATTGAAAATTTTACTTGTTTGCACTTTTCACCATTTTTATGTGCTAAACAAATGCAAAAATAATAAAGCGCAGTCTCTCTCTTTCATCCTAACCAAACTCACCCTAAGCCCCATATCATGAACCCAAACGACTCCGATGCCTATCTCTGCCAACACGTTTCCGATGGAATTTTTATACAACCCATCAATCAGTAGGAGGGGAATAGGCAAAAAGGAAAACTGCATCAGACAACACAAGAAGTAATACCCAAACCCAACCGTTACTAAGACATCACATTAAACATGTCATCCACTGGGCCAATTTCCCTCTTTGTGCGGTTTTGAACATTTTAGTCTCATGTTAGGGTGTGTTTTTATCTTTATTCCCAAAGTAGGGTAAAACGGTTTTTCTAATGCCGTTTTTGAGAAAACGGTTTTCACAAAACCGTATTCATCGATTAAAATAATAATAAAATTTGAAAAAAGAAACCGGCTTTTCTAAAGCCGTTTTTAATTATTCTGAATTAATTAAAAACGGTTTTCGTAAAACCGTTTTCCAATTAATTTTTTTTTAATTTATATTTTCAACATAAATATTTTTTGTTCAAAATTTTTTTTTAATGAAAACCGGTTTTAGAAAAGCCGCTTTTGCATTAATTTTTTTTAAATAAATATTTTATGACCAAAATTTTTTTTTAATAAAAAACGGTTTTAGAAAAGTCGTTTTTGAGAATTTTTTTTTTTTTTAAAAACAGTTTTCCAAAAGTTGTTTTTTGACCAAAAATATTTTTAATAAAAACCGGTTTTAGAAAAGCCATTTCATTATATACGAAACAGCTCCCTTCTTCTCCCTTATGAAAGCCGTGTTTGATCCAACCCATTTTCTTCTCCCTCTCTCAGTCGAAGAAGACCGACGACGAAGAGGCCGTGTTTGATCCAACCCATATTCTTCTCCCTCTCTCAGCCGAAGAAGACTGACGACGAAGAGGAAGCACACCACCGGCGGAACACCTTCATCAAACACCCACTTTCAGGTTTGTATCACATAAATGAGGGATTTCATTTTAGATTTGGGATTTTAAATTTTGAAATTAGGGATTTAGATTTGGGATTTTAAATTTCGAAATTAGGGATTCAGATTTGGGATTTTAAATTTTGAAATTAAGGTTGTAAACTTTTCATTCAACAACGCCAGAATTTTTTGTATAAATCCTGCGTTGGTTGCAAACCCCTTTTCTCGTCAGTTCCATGATATAAAAATGATGTTTGTGAATAATTTTTCAAATTAATTTGATAGGTTGTGATCATATATATGAAAATAGTTTCCATGATATTTTAAAGAATTTTGTAAGATTGACGAAAACTTAGTTAATATTAGGAGCTGTAATGATGAATAAATCAATCAAATGCCTATATTTAATGTTGAAAACGGTTTTTCTAAAATCAGTTTTTATTAAAAAAAAATTTTGAACAAAAAATATTTATGTTGAAAATATAAATAAATAAAAAATCAACGTTGAAAACGGCTTTTCTAAAACCGGTTTTCATTAAAAAAAAATTTTGAACAAAAAATATTTATGTTGAAAATATAAATTAAAAAAAAATTAATGTTGAAAAACAGCTTTTCTAAAACCGGTTTTCATTAAAAAAAATTTTTGAACAAAAAATATTTATGTTGGAAATATAAATAAAAAAAAAAATAATGTTGAAAACCGGCTTTTCTAAAACCGGTTTTCATTAAAAAAAATTTTGAACAAAAAATATTTATGTTGAAAATATAAATTAAAAAAAAATTAATGGTAAAACGGTTTTACGAAAACCGTTTTTAATTAATTCAGAATAATTAAAAACTTAATTCAAAACGGCTTTAGAAAAGCCGGTTTCTATTTTCAAATTTTATTATTATTTTAATCGATGAATACAGTTTTGTGAAAACCGTTTTCTGAAAAACGGCATTAGAAAAACTGTTTTACCCTATTGTGGGAATAAAGATAAAAACACACCCTAAAATGGGACTAAAATGTTCAAAACGGCACAAAGAGGGAAATTGGCCCATCCACTGGACCAACCCTTGGTCTTTCCGATGGAAGTTTAAAGACCAATGGAAGTTTAACGAGTTCAAAAGTTGCAGTTCAAATGACAGACAAAAGAGAAAAGCTAAGGATCATGAAAATCTTTTCATGAAAATGATCATGAAAGAGTTATGATCTTTGGATTACCTTGATTAGTGTGTGGTGCTTTATTCTAAGTGTAATCCAAGGGTCACAAAGTTTTCATGATTATTTTTATGAAAGATTTTTCATGATACCTAACATTGCTGCAGACAAAAGGCATAGAGTACTAGAGTTATCCAACAACTTCTCCAAGGAAATTAGTGGTATGCCAACTTCATGAACTGTTATCAATCATAATGCTTCGAATCACATGGAATGAATTGATCTCAATGTACAAATGGTTGAAAGAAATCTCCAAAACTG